TAGGGGCCTGGCAGCAGCAATGGGAGGCCCGTAATCTGCCAGCACCCTATGTGTCAAAAAAAATTGAACACACCAGCAGTGTGAGGAGACCTGAAAGTGGCACATGGCAGAGTGGCGATGGAGAGCAGCAATGGGAGGCCGTACAGGGACCCATGAGAGACACTTGGCAGCAGCATGAGGAGGCGGTATAGGGGGCCCATGGCAGATTAGGGGCCTGGCAGCAGCTATGGGGGGCCCGTAATCTGCCAGCACCCTATGTCAAAAAATTCAACACACCAGCAGTGTGTGAGGAGACCTGAAAGTGGCACATGGCAGAGTGTGGCGATGGAGACAGCAATGGGAGGCCGTACAGGGACCCATGAGAGACTCTGGACCTGGCAGCAGCATGAGGAGGCGGTATATAGGGGCCCATGGCAGATTAGGGGCCTGGCAGCAGCTATGGGAGGCCCGTAATCTGCCAGCACCCTATGTCAAAAAATTCAACACACCAGCAGTGTGTGAGGAGACCTGAAAGTGGCACATGGCAGAGTGTGGCGATGGAGACAGCAGCAATGGGAGGCCGTACAGGGACCCATGAGAGACTCTGGACTTGGCAGCAGCATGAGCATGGAGGCGGTATATAGGGGCCCATGGCAGATTAGGGGCCTGGCAGCAGCTATGGGAGGCCCGTAATCTGCCAGCACCCTATGTCAAAAAATTCAACACACCAGCAGTGTGAGGAGACCTGAAAGTGGCACATGGCAGAGTGTGGCGATGGAGACAGCAGCAATGGGAGGCCGTACAGGGACCCATGAGAGACTCTGGACTTGGCAGCAGCATGAGGAGGCGGTATATAGGGGCCCATGGCAGATTAGGGGCCTGGCAGCAGCTATGGGAGGCCCGTAATCTGCCAGCACCCTATGTCAAAAAATTCAACACACCAGCAGTGTGAGGAGACCTGAAAGTGGCACATGGCAGAGTGTGGCGATGGAGACAGCAGCAATGGGAGGCCGTACAGGGACCCATGAGAGACTCTGGACCTGGCAGCAGCAGCAGAGGAGGCGGTATATAGGGGCCCATGGCAGATTAGGGGCCTGGCAGCAGCTATGGGAGGCCCGTAATCTGCCAGCACCCTATGTCAAAAAATTCAACACACCAGCAGTGTGTGAGGAGACCTGAAAGTGGCACATGGCAGAGTGTGGCGATGGAGACAGCAGCAATGGGAGGCCGTACAGGGACCCATGAGAGACTCTGGACTTGGCAGCAGCATGAGGAGGCGGTATATAGGGGCCCATGGCAGATTAGGGGCCTGGCAGCAGCTATGGGAGGCCCGTAATCTGCCAGCACCCTATGTCAAAAAATTCAACACACAGCAGTGTGTGAGGAGACCTGAAAGTGGCACATGGCAGAGTGTGGCGATGGAGACAGCAGCAATGGGAGGCCGTACAGGGACCCATGAGAGACTGTGGACCTGGCAGCAGCATGAGAGGAGGCGGTATATAGGGGCCCATGGCAGATTAGGGGCCTGGCAGCAGCTATGGGAGGCCCGTAATCTGCCAGCACCCTATGTCAAAAAATTCAACACACCAGCAGTGTGAGGAGACCTGAAAGTGGCACATGGCAGAGTGTGGCGATGGAGACAGCAGCAATGGGAGGCCGTACAGGGACCCATGAGAGACTCTGGACCTGGCAGCATGGAGGAGGCGGTATATAGGGGCCCATGGCAGATTAGGGGCCTGGCAGCAGCTATGGGAGGCCCGTAATCTGCCAGCACCTATGACAAAAAATTCAACACACCAGCAGTGTGTGAGGAGACCTGAAAGTGGCACATGTTTGGAGGGGCATGATTCATGGCGGATTTAGTCAGTTGTGTCAGGAACTGGTGGTTTGAAATCCAGACTAATCCACGCCTGATTCATTTTCACAAACGTGAGTCTCTCCACACTTTGGGTGGAGTCGTGTCCTCCGCGGAGTTACAATACCTCCTGCCGCACTAAACACGCGCTCCGATGCCACTACTACTGGCCGGGCATGACAGCCTTTCAAGGGCAAATTCAGCTAGTTGGGGCCAAAGGTCAAGTTTCGTTGCCCAGTAGTCAAGGGGATTGTCTACCTCGGTTGGCAGGGTGCTGTCCAAGTAGGCCCAAGCCTGTTGTTTGAGCTCCTGCTCCAGGTCCACCTGATGCTGCTGCTGCTGCTGCGGCTGGTTAGTAGTTTCCTCACTGCGCTGGTGAAGAAAGCTACTCATCATCGACTGCAGACTGAGGCAGCCGCTGCTGGTGGAGCTGCCACTGCTCCTACCACCCCACCCCTCCCCTGCTGCCATGGCAGCGGAACGCGAGAGCGCACAGGGCCCACAGTGTCTGAGGATGGACGTTGGCGCACAAAGGCAGAGAGAGACCAACTGACTACATAGGTGGTTTTTATAGTACGTAATTTTGGCCTCCCTCTCAGCAGGTGTGAAAAAGGCCACCATTTTTGGAACGGTAGCGAGGGTCCAACAAGGTGGACAGCCAAAAGTCATCCCTGTCTGATGGTTATTATTCGGCTGTCGCTACGCAAGCAACCGAGCATGCTATGGGCCATTTGTGCCAAGGAATGCGAGGGACTCCCTGCCTCCATCTCCACAGCATACTGCCACGGTGCGTCTGGGTCCTCTGTCTCCTCCTCCTCCTCCTCTACCCAGATGCTCCTGCTCCTCCACTCCTGTCCGCTGAGTGGAAAAACCACCCATTTCACTCAATAATTCCTGAGCACAAATGTCCTCCTCTACCTCCTCCTCTTCTTCCTGTCCTGCCCCCCCCACAGGGGTCATGTGGCGTTGAGATCTGTGCGCCACGTCTACCGCACCCTGACCAGCCATTGTTAACAGCATTTGTTCCAGGACGTGCAACAGAGGAATGACGTCGTTCATCCCATAGTCCTGCCGACTCACGAATAGCGTGGCCTCCTCAAAGGGCCTGAGCAAGCGGCAGGTGTCACGCATGAGCTGCCAATGGCTGACATCGAAGTTACACAGGGGAGTACCTTTATCCGCTTGTAACATCAGGAAATCGGTGATGGCCTTTCGCTGCTCGTAAAGGCGGTCTAACATGTGTAGGGTTGAATTCCACCTTGTTGCAACGTCGCAGATCAGGCGATGCTGTGGAATTCCGTTCTGCCGCTGCAGCTCAATGAGGGTGTTCTTTGGTGTAGGAATGGCTGAAATGCATGCACAGTTTACGTCATTTTAAGGATGTCTTGCAGTGGGATGGTGGATTTTAGGAACCGCTTGACAACCAGATTGAACACGTGAGCCATGCATGGCGCATGGCACAACCTTCCTTGACGCAGAGCAGACACCATGTTCTTTCCGTTGTCGGTCAACATGGTTCCGATTTTCAGTTTGCGCGGAGACAGCCATCTGTCGATTTCTCTGTTCATTACACTCAGAAGTTCCTCCCCTGTGTGACTACGTTCGCCAAGGCATACCAGGTGCAGCACAGCGTGACACCGTTGCGCCCTGCACATGTGATATGCCGGTCGGGTAATGGGACTTGGCACGGGGGTGGCGGCTGAGGACACGGCGGAAAAAGAGGTGGTAGAGGCGGACATGTTTGCTGGACCAAGGACGTGCAAACGTGGAGGCAAAAGCGTCGTGACCTGTCCAAGTTGCTGGTGCGGCTGTGCCGGCACCACGTTCACCCAGTGGGCCGTAAATGACATGTACTGTCCCTGACCGTAGTTACAGCTCCACACGTCGGCGCTGCCGTGCACTTTGGCAGAGACCGACATGCTCAAAGACTGGCCCACCATCTCTTCTACATGTGTGAATGCAGGGCTGGCACTGCCTTTTGGGCGAAGAAATGACGGCTTGGCACTCTCCACCGCGGCGCGGCACAAGCCATCATTTCTCGGAAAGGTGCTGAGTCCACCAGTTGGAAAGGGAGGGACTGCAGCACCAGCAACTTGGACAGGAGGACGTTCAGCTTTTGCACCGTCGGGTGCGTGCTCGCAAACTGTTGTCTCTTGGAAACGGATTCCAAGAAAGACTGTTGACGGAATCCGAGAAGAGGAGTAGCAGGAGAAGGAGCATCTGAACGAGCGGAAGATGCCAACGAGCGACAACTCCCCTCAGCAGAGGTGTTGGAGCCTTGACTGGCTGATAGAGGGCGATTGACGACGTCGGGTGACGGAGCAAGTAACGGAGCGGGTGATGGAGCGGGGGGCTGGGGCAGGCAGAACCGCCGTATCTTTATCACGGTTTTCCCAGGCCACCGAATGGTGACGCTGCATATGCTGACGCAACGCTGTAGTCCCAACATGGGCCCCCTGGCCACGCTTGCATTTCTGGCCACATAGTCGACATACGGCTACGTTTACTTCCTCGGGCGGCTTGACGAAAAATTGCCACACCACCGAGTAGGAAACTTTGCCCCCGCTACTCCTCACTGGCTGACTGCTACTTCCTCCGTGCGCACCGGCACCACTACTGGCCGTGGGTAGGCTGCAGTGGAGCTGGTGCTCTACTCCGTGGACGTTTGGCTCCACTGACACTGATGCGACCCTGCTGCCTCCTGGGCAACCCACCGACTGTTTCGCTCGCTGCCAAGCTGGCACCCTCTTCTCCTGATGATGCGGAAGAAATTGCCTGATGACGACGAGGCAGCCAAGTGCGATCAACCTCCTCATCATCAAGTACGGTCTCCGCCCTCACTACTAGCCCCCTCGGCTGCGTCTGGGTCAGGAGACAGACCTGTCTCTAGACCGGCTACCGAGCCACTCTCCTCGCCAGTACTTGTTCTTCGCCTGGCTGCTGAAAAGGCCGATGTCTCCCCCCGTTCCTGACCCCCCTCTGTTAGCTCTTCCTCACTGTACAGTGGGGCTGAGCCCACAGCATGCGATACTTCGCTTGGTGAGGGAACAGCAAAGGACAGGGGCAGGTAGAGGACATGTGATTTCAGTGGGCTTGCTCCCGGGCCATGCCAAACGGTTGTGTCTGACGTACCCACCGACCGTTGGCTGTAGGTGTCAGAGGTGACCTGGGAAGAGGAAGACGACCGAGCCAACCAATCGATGACGGCAGGGTTGTCGGTGGAGACACGACCGCTGGATGACACCGGGAGCACTGGCCTCTGGCTGCGAATAGTGCTGCCTCGACCCCTTCCTCTGCTGCTGCCACGTCTGCTCGCTCCTAAAACATTGCCTCCTCTGCCACTCCTCTGCATGTTGTCTGACATACTCTTTAATTCAACGATTATGTGTCCCTGAGTAACAATTCTGTGTCCCTGAGTAACAATTCTGTGTCTGTCCGAGTAACAATTCTGTGGCCCTAAGTAACAGTTCTGTGGCCCTCAGTAACAATTCTCAGTAAACAATTCTGTGTCTGTGCCCTGAGTAACAATTCTGTGGCCCTAAGTAACAATTCTGTGGCCCTCAGTAACAATTCTGTGTCCCTGATTAACGTTTATGTGGCCCTAAGTAACGGTTCTGTGCCCTCAGTAACAATTCTGTGTCCCTGATTAACTGTGTCTGTGTGGCCCTAAGTAACGGTTCTGTGGCCCTCAGTAACAATTCTGTGTCCCTGTCCCTGTGGCCCTAGTAACAATTCTGTGCCCTAAGTAACAATTCTGTGGCCCTGAGTAACAATTCTGTGTCCCTGCGAGTAACAATTCTGTGGCCCTAAGTAACAGTTGTGGCCCTCAGTAACAGTTCTGTGGCCCTGAGTAACAATTCTGTGTCCCTGAGTAACAATTCTGTGTCTGTGCCCTAGTAACAATTCTGTGGCCCTAAGTAACAGTTCTGTGGCCCTCAGTAACAATTCTGTGGCCCTGAGTAACAATTCTGTGTCTGTGCGAGTAACAATTCTGTGGCCCTAAGTAACAGTTCTGTGGCCCTCAGTAACAATTCTGTGTCCCTGAGTAACAATTGTGGCTGTGGCCTGTGGCCCTCAGTAACAATTCTGTGGCCCTGAGTAACAATTCTGTGTCCCTGAGTAACAATTCTGTGGCCCTAAGTAACAATTCTGTGGCCCTCAGTAACAATTCTGTGTCCCTGAGTAACAATTCTGTGCGAGTAACTGTGGCCCTAAGTAACAATTCTGTGGCCCTCAGTAACAATTCTGTGTCCCTCAGTAACAATTCTGTGTCCCTGCGAGTAACAATTCTGTGTAACAGTTCTGTGGCCCTAAGTAACAGTTCTGTGGCCCTCAGTAACAATTCTGTGTCTGTGCCCTAAGTAACAATTCTGTGGCCCTAAGTAACAGTTCTGTGGCCCTCAGTAACAATTCTGTGTCTGTGCCCTCAGTAACAATTCTGTGTCTGTGCGAGTAACAATTCTGTGGCCCTAAGTAACAGTTCTGTGGCCCTCAGTAACAATTCTGTGTCCCTGAGTAACAATTCTGTGTCTGTGCGAGTAACAATTCTGTGGCCCTAAGTAACAGTTCTGTGGCCCTCAGTAACAATTCTGTGTCCCTGAGTAACAATTCTGTGGCCCAAGTAACGGTTCTGTGGCCCTCAGTAACAATTCTGTGTCCCTGAGTAACAATTTCTGTGGCCCTGAAGTAACAATTCTGTGTCTGTGCCCTCAGTAACAATTCTGTGTGCCCTGAGTAACAATTCTGTGTCTGTGCCCTCAGTAACAATTCTGTGGCCCTGAGTAACAATTCAATTCTGTGGCCCTCAGTAACAAACAATCTGTGTGTCCCTGAGTAACAATTCTGTGTCTGTGCGAGTAACAATTCTGTGGCCCTAAGTAACAGTTCTGTGGCCCTCAGTAACAATTCTGTGTCCCTGTGCGAGTAACAATTCTGTGTCTGTGCGAGTAACAATTCTGTGGCCCTAAGTAACAGTTCTGTGGCCCTCAGTAACAATTCTGTGTCCCTGCGAGTAACAATTCTGTGTCTGTGCGAGTAACAATTCTGTGGCCCTAAGTAACAGTTCTGTGGCCCTCAGTAACAATTCTGTGTCTGTGCAGTAACAATTCTGTGTCTGTGCGAGTAACAATTCTGTGGCCCTAAGTAACAGTTCTGTGGCCCTCAGTAACAGTTCTGTGTCTGTGCGAGTAACAATTCTGTGTCTGTGCGAGTAACAATTCTGTGGCCCTAAGTAACAGTTCTGTGGCCCTCAGTAACAATTCTGTGGCCCTGAGTAACAATTCTGTGTCTGTGCGAGTAACAATTCTGTGGCCCTAAGTAACAGTTCTGTGGCCCTCAGTAACAATTCTGTGGCCCTGAGTAACAATTCTGTGTCTCAGTAACAATTCTGTGTCTGTGCGAGTAACAATTCTGTGGCCCTAAGTAACTAAAGTTTCTGTGGCCCTAAGTAACAATTCTCTGGCACTCAGTAACAATTCTGTCTGTCCCTGAGTAACAATTCTGTGGCCCTAATAACGTTTCTGTGGCCTAAGTAACAATTCTCTGGCACTCAGTAACAATTCTGTCTGTCCCCTGAGTAACAATTCTGTGGCCCTAATAACGTTTCTGTGGCCCTAAGTAACAATTCTCTGGCACTCAGTAACAATTCTGTCTGTCCCTGAGTATGAATTCTGTGGCCCTAACTAGCGTTTCTTTGTCCCTAAGTAACGATTCTGTGGCCCTCATTAACAAGTCTGTGTCCCTGAGTAATGGTTCTCTGTCCCTAAGTAACTTTTCTCTGTCCCCAAGTATCGTTTCTGTGGCCCTAACTCTGTCCCTAGTACAGAGCGGTCTGCCTCTGTTCAATGACTGCAGGCAAATGAAGAATTCCAAAATGGCCGCTATTTATAGCTCGACCATTACACAGTGCTGGCTGGCTGGCTGCTGATTGGCTGATGCGATCACATGTCGTTGAGGAATGCATTATGGGTCAGCGCGCCTTGTCTGCGCGCCTTCCCAGACATCCCCGCTCCGTCGCCGCACATGTCAGCCACCATTTTCTGAAAAATTTCGATTCGCGCGCGTCCGAATTAGGCTATTTTTCGGATTCGGCACGAATCGAAATTTTTTCCGATATTCGACTCGAATTCCATTTCGGATACTTCGATTCGCTCATCTCTAGTGTCTTTGCTAAAAAAAAAACCAATACGTGTAAATTAATTGGTTTACGTGAAAGTTATAGCGTTTACAAATGGCTGGAAAGATACTGGGATTTTTAATTTTTTATTTATACTAATAATGGCGCCGATCAGCGACATATGGCGGCAATCAGGGACTTATGGCGGGACTGCGGCAGACATTTTGACACTGGGGGGGAACTGACTTGGGGTCACTGACATCCCCAGTGACACCAATACAGTGATCAGTGAAAAAAAAACCCACTGAAACTGTACTAATGTCACTGGGGAGGAAGGGGTTAACATTTTTAGAATTTGCTGTGTAAGGGGAGTGTTTTACTAGGGGGCGGGGGTGTGTACTGGACGGGGGAGGGAGGGGGGAGCTAAAGGAGGGAGAGAAACTGTTCTCTCCCTCTGCAGCTTGTCCGCGAACTGTCACAGAGAAGGGCTGTGTGTAAACAATGCAGCCCTGCTCTGTGTCAGTGATCACCGCTCATCACGGGAAAACGGCCAGTAAAAAACCGGGCCGTGACCCGGCGGCAGAGACCCGCTGCTGACACCCCGCGGGACAGGTAGGGCGGGCGCGCGCGCCCCCTACCTGTATTGAAGGCAGCCGTTTTAAAACGTGCTTTTGCCTACGAGTGCTGCCCTGCCGCTGTTTATATGCGGTGGCTGGGCGGCAAGTGGTTAAATTATAACTAAAGGAATTATAGGCATTTTACAAGCATTAAAACCACACTACAAACACCTATAATAAAATCGAATGGTATTAACGCCCCACAAACGCCTCGCAAACGCCTGCCAAGCATTTGAGGAGCGTCACCATAGACTTGAATGGGAGGCGTTGAAAGTCTTCATCTCCTCCAGACTCGACATGAGGCTTCAATTTTTGAAGCCACGCGACGCTAACGCTTCATGTTTTGCTAATGTAAACAGCACTGTGTGCTGCCCATTGTATCATTTCCATAGGCGTTTGAGGAGCATTAAAACGCCCCTCAAATGCCTGCTTTCAAAACTTGTGTGAACTAGGCCTAATAGAGGGGAGATTTTCCAATGGGGACACTGGTTCTGGTGACCTGGGGGGCCCAAGAATTCCTTTAATTTGCAGGGCTTTCCTCTCACTTTTTGTTTGGCTAAGGGACAGGAAGTGAAGGTAAATCTCCCCAATGGCACACAGATGGCAATAAACGCCCCAAAAAACCCAAAATGGACAGGGGGTTCTAATCCTCCATTACTCTATCCAAAATCAACATTAAAGTTGCACTTTAAAGCAGCCTTTCTCAACCTTTCAAACACAGAGGAACCCTTGAAATAATGTACCGGTCTGAGGGAGCCCCTGATAACAATGACAATATCTACAACTCATGATACATTAATCCAGTGTTTCTCAACTCCAGTCCTCATGGACCCCCAACAGGTCATGTTTTCAGGATTTCCCTCAGATGAAACAGCTGTGGTAATTACTAAGGCAGTGAAACTGATCAAATCACCTGTGCAAAATAATGGAAATCCTGAAAACATGACCTGTTGGGGGTCCATGAGGACTGGAGTTGAGAAACACTGCATTAGTGTGTGATGGTGAGTGGGAAGCATGCTCCTTACACCAGGGGGTTCTAACCCCCCCGACCCTATCTAAATGCTGCATGAGATCTGCTTTAGTGAATGGAGCCCAGTGTCACTTTATCGAATATAGATTTGTACATTCTTCTGCCAAAATATTTAATTGTAGACATTAAAAAGGAAAACAAGGGATTAAAAAAATGTTTATAAGTGTATTTTACTTTGATAGGAAAGACTCACTTTGTGGACAGACATCGGAAGGAACTGATACACTCCAATGGGGACTGTCATGTAGAGGGGGGCTCTGCTGGGGGCTATCATGTAGATGGTGTCTCTGATGGGGGCTATGATGTAGAGGGTGGCTCTGATGGGGGCTATGATGTGGAGGGTGGCTCTGATGGGAGCTATGATGTGGAGGGTGGCTCTGATCGGGGCTATGATGTAGGGGGTGGCTCTGATGGGGGCTATCATGTAGAGGGTGGCTCTGATGGGGGCTATGATGTAGATGGTGGCTCTGATGGGGACTATCATGTAGAGGGTGGCTCTGATGGGGGCTATGATGTGGAGGGTGGCTCTGATGGGAGCTATGATGTGGAGGGTGGCTCTGATAGGGGCTATGATGTAGGGGGTGGCTCTGATGGGGACTATC